CTTTGTACAAACACTGTATATAAACCCCCTTTAATGATGAGAAAATGGTTAGAAAACATTTCTAGGATTGTGATTGTAAGCTCTCACAGCGAATAAAATAACAGTGGACGTAGGCTCAAGAGTTCAACTCGCCGAACCACTTTAAAAATCTCTTTGCTATTTACTTTACTGCAATTATTATTTACTCACTGCTGGTTACCCGTAATCACGTACACATCAGTTTCGATCCCGTCAAGGTCGATCAGATCACTCTAGTTGATGCAAAATCTTGTATCAACAATCACTATTAATTTTTCTTGTTTTCGAGATTTAAGAAATGAATTTTGAAAATAATATAGGCCGTGTTTGGTTCATTATTCCTGCCCATATTCCCAATCCTATTCTCCAAATAATCTTTGGCACATTAGTCCAGAAATATTACCCAATTTTTTTAATTACTTTTAGACCCCATAAGGTTATTAATTTCATTAAATACCCCCTGAAAAAAAGTTTAAAAAATAACAAAAACACCCTCGTGACCCATACTTGCCAGATTCCGGCAACCACTATCAGTGGTAGCCGGAATCTGCCACAACGGTGAATTACCGATTGGAGTTGGCCAGTAATTCACTGATCTGGCCTTCTCCAACCAGATCCACAGTGGATCTGGTCGGAAAAGGCTAGATCTGACGACCAAAGAAATGGCCGCCATTGACGGTCAACGATGGCTAAGATGACGGTCAAAGATGGCGGTCGTTTTGGCCTTTTTTGGCCGTTGACTGCCATAGCAAGCCATAGATCTGGCCTTTTCCGACTAGATCCGTGGTGGATCTGATCGGAAAAGGCTATAACGACACGTTACAACACAGATCTGATCGATCTGTGTTGTAACGCAATTTTCTGACCAGACTGCAGTTGGTAGGGGTATTTTTGTCATTTTATATGTTGGGGTATTTAATTAAATTAGTAAACCTAGGGGCTTTTTTTTATAAATTTATAAATTTTATCTCGTAATACTACCCTATTCAACTACCCAATATTATTCCAAAAATCCTATCCAAAATAATGAACCAAACGCACCGATAGAGGTTTGCATATAAAAATTATTCATATATTTTATCAAACTATATTCATTGGAAAAATCTTATACGTAGACGCTGGAAAATGTTGTCGTCGTATGTGCACAATACGACAACATCACAATAACATTGTCGTAAATTTCATATCTCGACATACAAGGTGTTGGTATATTGTCGTTCCTTGGGTGCAAGCAAAATGCATAGGAGGAATACTGTTTGTCGTTAGAATTTTGATTTCAATCCAACGTTAGTGTAGTGATTTAATGTCTCGACGTCGCCGGTGTCAGGGCACAGGTATTCCTCTGGCGCATCCATATGTTGGGTACTTCCCAGGCCATTTCGACGTCTGCATAGAGATTAATTTTAATCGTGAACGTTTGCATATCATAAATTCATGCATTACGTTAACCAAACACTTAATCATTGAGTTAGAAATATATAATAATTTTTTTTTTACTAAAAAAAATAAAATAATAGTTGATATGATGATCATTAATCAGAATTCTTTCCCTTTCAAGTTTCATCAGATGGATGTAGTAAAATTGTAAGTATATACAAATCTAATTGCTTAAGTAAAATTATAATTTTTGCTAATACATGGGGCATTTTGTGTGAAGGTCTAGTTTCGGGTTGGTAGTTACAATCTAGCAAGCAACTGGACATGTTTGATAAATTTATTTGAAAAGTCATTTTATAAAGGTTTTAATTAAAAAATAGAATAGGATGATTTTTAAAAATATCAAAAGCTAATTATGTATTTATATAAAAATAATGTTATGCTTACAACTGAGTCATATAACCAGACAAAAAATATAGGATATAATAGTCATTTTACATGAATTTTATAAAAATTTTGTGAGATTGTATGTCTGATTGTATGATTCAATTGTGAACATAGTATTTATCAATTATAAAAAGTACTTTCACAATTAACCTAACTTTTAAAATTGAAAACTAATCGAGGATAGTTATTGTCAACAATGACTGTCAAAAATGATAATTATCATAATATATCCGATGATATTATTAATGAATAATATTATACTGATAGATAGATTTCACAAACCCAACATAAAAATTGATAATTGATTTTTGATAAATTTTTCAGTTTACATTTGAAAAACATTGGTTGAATCTTTTGTCAGTTTATTGCATTTTTTTTTTAAACGGTTATCATACCGACAAAGACACACCGTTGGATAGATCCTCGCGGCGATTAGAAAACTAATTAGAAAACAAGGATACGTGGAGAAGTTTAAAGGGGTGTACCCTCATTTTTGATACGACGGTGATGCTGATGCATATGTAAAAAGGAAGTGTGGGGCAGGACACCACACCATTGATTGTCGGTCGATCTGTCGATGAGAGGTTTGTACACGACTGCATTATGCAAATTTCTTCCATTTAAAGAGCATGTCAACGATATTTAAACCTAACTATTTACATCAGTCAACGATAAGGCTGAGAAACACGTCAGAAAATTGAATCACCTTCAACCCACATGCAAAGATTTATCCAGAAACTGAAGTGGGAATGCCGAATGCATGAATCTGGACCAAATAAATAAATAAATAAATTTATGCATGTTGAAGGCTTTGCTTTTCCGCTGCTAATTATTTTCATCTTGATCATCATTTTCTGCGCAGATTTCATCATCAAATCAAACCAAATCCAATACAGTACTCTATGAACATTTTAGAGCACTCGATCAGAATTTAAATCCCATTTGAGTGCAAGAATTAATGTCATGCAATGATTAATTTATTGACTTATAAAAAAAAAAAAAAAATCGAAGGCGCTCGATTATCCCATAATGTCCTGTGACTTATCTCATTTGAATGTCAATTGTCAATGGATAAGATATGATCATCATGATTTAGAAATTATTAATTTACACATTCAACAATAATTCTTATAAATTTCAACGAAATGATAGATTGTTTGACCACTTTCTTCCCATAAAATCAATCTCTATCATGTTCACATGTGGTTTCTACTATTACTCTATATAAAAAAATGTATACAATTTTTGGTTGTTGAGAGTGTGAAACAAACAGAAGTGTCCACCACAAAAGGCCAAAAATCAGCCAAAGGGAGTAAAGCATTAATTAACATAAAATTTTAAACTTTCCAAAATCCAAGCTATACAGGACAATTCTCAAAATCACGTATGAATTGGAAATATATACATCAGATATCCAATAGCTGAAAAAACTCCTTTGGCTTATGTGAGATTATGTCTTTATGTGTGGTTTTAAATTTTAATTGTATGATGGACACTAGAGAACAAAGGGTGACCAGATTTCAAAACTTAAAAAACACTCCTTTGGCTGTTAGCGCAGACAAAGAGAGGATGGAAATTGTATAACTCTCTCTGAAATGGATGTAGTGCCAAGTGCGATGTGATTTTAAGGTTTTAATGGAGATTGACCCATTAAAGCAGATTCGTTTTGTTTCTAATCAGAGAAGACAAGTATCAAAGTTTATCTGCTTATGCGACGATCCAATATTTCTTGTCCTACATTCATCGCCTCCTACAAAACAACGTCATTTCGATGCTGTTATTCTAGCTATATAAGGAGGTTTCTTCATCTTCTTTATGCTACTACTTTGCGAAATTACTAAGCTTTTTAAGTCTTTTAAGGTACCATCTATGGCGAATTTATCAAAAACTAAAGTGTTTTCAGTTTCCTTAGTTATGTTTCTGGTGCTTGTAGTGATCTCAGAGGCACAAGTTTCTGCTGTTATCCCAGCGGCCTTAGCAGAAAAGATTGATAGCAAACTTATTCTTAGAAAATTAGGATATGATGTATCGAAACTCGAACGGCACGGGAGGAAATTGATGCTTGGTTCTGGAACTCAAAGAGTATCTCCAGGAGGTCCAGATTCACAACATCACTCTCTACCGCCAGCATTGTCCTAGAATACCCAATTCTTTTGTGGATGTTAATTTCAACATAAAATTACCCACATCCCCACACACCCCCACCCCCCACCAAAAAAAAAAAAAAAAAAAATATTCAACATAGAATAAACCAAACACTTAATCATTTGGGTATGCAGAGTTGAGAGAATTACTATATTTTTGTTATCCTACAAGCTAGCTAGCAGTATGATCAAGGCTCATTGATCTTACTTTGTTTTTCCCATCTTGTTTAAATTCTGTTTTGTTTTTCTCCTTTCCTCTCTTTTTTGTTGTATATGTTGTTATTGAGAATAAATGCAGGTCTTGCTAATTTGAATCTGCAATTTCTATCAACTCTGCATACCCAAATGATTAAGTGTTTGGTTAATTTTATGTTGAAATTAACATCCACAAAAGAATTACTATATATTTGTTATCCTACAAGCTAGCTAGCTAGCAGTATCATCTTGGTTCATTGATCTTACTTTGTTTTTCCTATCTTGTTTAAATTCTGTTTTGTTCTTCCTTTCCTCTCTTTTTTGTTGTATATGTTGTTATTAAGAATATATGCAGGTCTTGCTAATTTAAATCTGCAGTGTTTCAATGAAAGATTATCTTTTTGGCCGCTGCTGCTATTTTTCATGTGTTGTTGCATCATAAGAAATATGGCTTCAAAATATTTTAACACTTTAATAGAATAGTACAAGATCACCAATTAATATATATATATGACTAAACTATTTGCATGAACTTCCAGTTGGTTCATTAATTAATATTCACCGTCATATTATATCTTTTTCTGTTGCTTCTGTCTCTCTCACTTATCAGTTTCAGTCTCCAAGCCATAGAGTTACTGTAATTGTCCTCCTCTGACTGATTAAATAAGATCTCATATTAATTATTGATGGCATTTGTAAAATGATAATGTTTCAAGCCAATAGAAAATAGTAATGAGACATTGATCAAGATTGAATATGAAGGACTAACTTTCAGTAGTATATAAAATTTCATACAGTATTCAAGATATAAAAATATTTCTAACAATCTGTGTGAAGAGGGTAGTGACAGTATTTAGTGTTCTTCATGCATGGGAAGAATCTCTCATAAGCTGATGCCATTTTGTTTGCAGTAAACATCGAAAGCGCATGTTCCTTGCAGGCCATGCCTTTCCTCTGCAAAACTTGAGGTCCATCTCTAATTACCATCTCCAATGCCTCAATAAATGACTTCACATTTGATGAAAATGTGTACCCAAGTTGTTCATTCACAACTACTGTCCCAACTATACTCGGATAATTGGGCGTCAAAACAGTTTTGCCGCAATGCATCGCTCATCAAAGTAAGATCAAGCCCTTGAGGCCTAAATGTTGGATTTACAAACACATAAATTGCATTATAAAATTCAGATAGCTCTTGAGGTTCCAATGCACCTAAAACCTTCACATTTTGGCCTAGTTTCTGCATACCTTTTTCCCCATTGACCTGATCCTGCAACAAGTAGATATACACCGGGATTTCGCATGGTTATCAAAGAAAAGTCTTCATAGAGAAGGCGATGTCCTTTGTCCCTAACTAAACGGCCTGCAACTCCCATCACAAGGCTCACATTTTCAGGACCACCATGCTTTTCTCGAAACCTTGCGCCGGGTCAAGGACAAATTCCTTGTCATGAACTCAATTCAGTATATATGGCGTGTACATTACTTGGTGGGAGCTGATATATGGAAACTAGTGCCCTACCTGCGCTATTGCTTGGGCAAATATGTTGTGCATAGCTCGAAAATAATCTAATCTCCTCGATAAGCCTCGGCATTGCTTCTTGAAGCTCTGTCATAGGGCCAGGCAAAATCCCATTTCTGTTTGAGAAAAGTTCTTCCAATAACTTTGAGTGCATAATTTCATACCAAATACCATGCCAAGTGACAGCCACGTTCGGCACCGTTTTTGCACGCTAATGGGGCAGGGAAACACTCTCTGTGTGGACATAATCAAAAGCGCCATTGTTATTAAGCTTGTGGAATATCTCAAACGCCAAAGAACAATTGACAGAACCATGATCGTTTGCCGCAAAGTAGACATGAAGGTTTCCGTCGTGAATGTCATGGTGAAACTTTCTATCTGAAGGCACAGTGAAGACAAGAACTTCTTGTCCCCTGGCAGCAAGAGCATGGTATAAAGTTGAGGCATGGCGGTCCATGCCACCAGGGGCAGCACCAATCGGCCATGTCTTGGAGAAAACCGCAAGCTTCAGCTTTTCAAATGATGGCCCAAAATAAAGTTTGTTCCATGGAAATTTAGCATATCTAAGGTCCCCACTAAAAGGGTTTTCCTCTGTCAAAGAAAACGGTTCCGGGAGATTCCTAAAAGGCGAAATGAAGAGATAAAAGGAGGTAAAGAAGAGGGCTAAAGTGAGAATTGTTGAATATCTGACAGGGAGGAAGTTAGAACAAGAAGAAGAAGAAGAAGAGTTTCTGCAAGATTGATGTTTCACGCCCATTGCTGATTGCTAGTAGTAATCTGAATAGGAAGTGGTTCATTTTTTGATAAGTTATTGAATCTTTGTTTGTGTTAATTTATAAAGACCAAAAAAAAAAAAAAAATGATAATACAGAGGAAGCTTTTATAGAAGATGAAGACAAGACTTGATCCCCTCATACACCAGAAACTTCACTTCGACCAATAAAAGTCCTTTCCGGATCGTTATTAAACGGATTTTAATGATAAACAACAATAATTTATTATTGTAAGAGAAATTCCCCTCAATAACTACACCATTAGTTTTAGTTTCTAAAATAATAATAATAATAATAGTTATTATTATAATAACAACAACAACCAAGGGCGGCGCTAGAATTTTACTTCCGGGGTAAAATAAAATCTAACTTATTTTGAGAAGTAACATATGATCTCTTACATTTGTGAGTAAAATACAATTAGATTTAAGTTTAATATAAATAATATATATTTTAATTAAGTTTAGAAAAAAAATTTAAGTTTACAAGATACACATCTAAACTTTTATATTTATAAAAAAGGTGCATATAAAAAAAATGTAATATGCTATTGTGTTCTTTAAAACTAAAATGAAATTAAGATATAATTTTTAAATATTAGGGAAAGCAAGTATATTTGGAGAAATTAATAAAGCAAGTATGATTTTTTGAGAAAATAACAGATTTTATTGTAATGCAACAAAATACAAAAATTGAGAGATATAAGATGAACTAAATAAATTAAGCTTTGACATTTTACTAATTAAATGAAAATAACATAAACTAGCATTAAACTATGACAATAACTTCTAAATAAATCCAATGAAAATTATATTGGGGTGGCCATGCTGTAACAATAATATTTTTCTTATGACCACATATATCAAATCAACCTTGTAACTTGTAAGAGGGAGCCACTTTGCCACTGATAATAGAGTAAACATACTTTTTCCCTCCTAAATAATGGCTTAATGACACTCTTTCACCCATAGACTTTTAAATTATCATTTTATTATTGAAATTTATATTCTGTTTTTTATTCCAGTATCACCACTGTTCTCTTCCTTGATCATCACTCATCAAAACCTCTCAAACCCTACTTTCGTCGACCTTACCAATCGCTAGCAATCGAGCGCTTAGGGTTTGTGCAACTGTCACTTCCAAGTAATTCCAATTAATCACAACCACCAAAATCCAACCTTCTACCACCAGAAAACTCATCGGCCTCTCTTCTTCAAAAGCCCCAGTAGTCTACATCGAGTTTACTCTCTGTTTGCCATCGAAATATAAATTTAGATAGTAAAATGATATTTTAAAAATCTGGAAGTGGAAAAGTATCATTGAACCATTATTTGGGTGAGAAAAAGTCGTTAACTTGTGACAATAACTAAAACAATCAAAATACGTTAGACTATCGAGTTCACATAATCTAGCATGGTTTGCCATTTTTTAATCAGACCTTTAAATCAAACCGTTTAATATTAGATTATCATGTTTAGTATGATTTAGCATAATTTAAGGCTGTAGGTTAAAAAATCTATTATTTATTGTTTCCTTAAGAATAAAATTTGTAAGTTACTTGATTTTATCATTATATTTATTTGTTAAATAAAATATTTATAATTAAAAATTAAGATTGTTGACTTAATTATATATGTCCAAATCTCTAAAATATAATTAAGAGTCCTTTTGGAAATTTTCTTATAATATTCTAATTAGGGTCATAACTTAAATTTTCGGAAATTCTTTACATAAAAGAGTTAAAAAATAGTTTTTTATTTATTTTTGTTTTGTTTTCCACTCAATAACTTACTACTTTTTATAATTAAAAATTTTATATTTAAAATATATTATAATTAACACAATTGAGCTCTCTATATTATAAAATCATGTTAAATTTTAAAAGTAAACAAAACAAGTTTAACATTAAAAAAAAAAAAAATTAACGGACACTTAACGGCAGTGGGTTTTTCCGTAGACCAATAGACGTTTAGTCGTCCTCCACTAGCCATCCGATGTGACCACTGTCTGTGCCTTTCTTTTTGTATCATTCGCTCTCCAGCGCGTGGCTTCACCTCACTCATTCTCTCCCTCCCTCCTCTCCACTCTACTCGCCGCACTGAACCCTCCCATTCTCTCAGACCCATAACAAAACACCTTTTTTTTTTTTTTTTTTTTTTTGGTTTTTTTTAAAGAAACCCTAAACCCTGATTTTTTTAATTCCATCAAAAAGCCTTACCTTTTCTCTTAAATTCTTCGCTAAAACTTCTTAAACCCTGAAAAAAGCCATTTTCTTTTTCGCCCACTCTTCAAATTAGCTTCTTTCTTCTGTTTTTAGTTCTGTTTTATGAAGGAAACAAACCCTTTATAAAGTTAACATACCCTTTTAGGGTTTTCTTTGGGTCAATCTGTTTTCTTTTTCTACTAAAAAAAGAATTAGGGTTTTTTGTTTGATGATCACATGAATGGCAGATTGGGGTTTTTCTGAAATTTGGTTTTTTGCTCCCTTCACAAGTTGAAAGCTTTTTCTTGGGTTTGTGTAAAGTTAGGGTTTTTGTTTGATAATTACATGAATGGCTTCAGGTCCATTACTTGGTGATGCTGGAGAGAAGCACAAGAAGAAATTATATGGAAGAAAGAACCAAAACAATTCCGACAATCCCAACAATGTCCGTCAATACTATCACCACAACAAGCGCCAGAAATCTTCACAACACCACCTAGCCACTACTGATGACAACTCCTCTCAGCCTCAGACTATTCCTGCAGTATCAGATGATTCCTCAAGCCACAACCTTGAGCAACTGGGTGCTGCTCATAACAGCCGAGAACCCACCAATGCGATTGGAATACCAGGTTATGTTAAGTTTGATAATCTTGTAAAGATTAGTTTGAATTTAAGAAATAGGGATGAGGTTAGGGCACTCAAACGAAAGCTTGCGAGCGAGCTTGATCAAGTGTTGAGTCTAGTGAAGAGGCTTGAAGCTACACAGAGCCAGTTAACTAAAAATGTGAATAGAAATGCAAAGAAAATGAGTTCTGAGATGGGTTCTGTGGAGCCTACAAATCCACGGTCTTTCCGGGGATCAACTGTATCTGTGAGTGAGAATGAGAACAATCTTGGAGTTAATGGTGAAATGGTGGGCAAAGTGAAGAGGGCACCAAAAGTTAATCAGCATAAGAAGAAGTTTGATGCTCTTGTGGGAAGGGAAAAGTCAACCCCAATGGAGAATAAGAAGAAGTCCGATGCTCTTATGAGAAGGGAAAAGTCAACTCCAATGGAGAGTAAGAAGAAGTCGAAATCCAGTGAAATGGGAGGTGGGTTTGTGTTAGATAAGGATTTGAGTAGATTGTTCAAAAATTGTAGTAATTTGTTGGAGAAGTTAATGAAGCATAAGTTTGGTTGGGTGTTTAATAAGCCAGTGGATGTGAAGGGGCTTGGATTACATGATTATTATACGATAATTAAGCATCCTATGGATTTGGGCACGGTGAAGGTTAGGTTGACTAACAAGTTGTACAAGTCACCTAAAGAGTTTGCTGAGGACGTGAGGCTTACCTTTAATAATGCCATCTTGTATAACCCAAAAGGTCAGGATGTGCATGTAATGGCTGAGCAATTGTTGAAGATATTTGAAGAGAAGTGGACAAAAATGGAGTCTGAGTATAATTTCAGTAGGAGGTTGGAAATCGGTAATGATTCAGGTTTGCCAACATCCACTTTAGGGATAACTCCAGTTCCTCTTGCACCAGCTCGTACACCAGCTGCTGCTCCTACTATGCCAGTTCATATTCCTGTTCCTGCTCCTTCTACACCAGTTCATATTCCTGTTCCTTCTCCGTCTCCACAGCCTGCAGAAGCACGTAATTTTGAGAGAGTCGAGTCGATGACAATGCATGTGGATCCAAAGACTATGGTTTCTGCTCATCAAGTTAAGACACCAGTTTCAAATAAGCCTAAAGCTAAGGATCCTGAGATGAGGGATATGACTTATGAGGAGAAGCAGAGACTAAGTTTGAACCTTCAGGATTTGCCTTCAGATAAACTGGACCATGTTGTCCAGATAATTAAGAAGAGGAATCCTGTGCTTTCTCAACAAGATGATGAGATTGAGTTTGACATTGACAGTTTTGATCCTGAAACTCTTTGGGAACTTGATAGATTTGTGAATAATTACAAGAAGAGTTTGAGTGAGAACAAGAGGAAAGCTGAATTTGCTCTTCAGGAAACTGCAGAATCTGACCATAATATTCTGGATACTGTGAGAAATTGAACTATTGATGACTGAATGTTTACCTGTTTTTCTTGCATGACATTTCTTTTTGCTAATCTTCCAGTTTTCTGATTGTATATGCAGAATATGGAACCAATCATTTTAGAGTCACCGAAAGGAACTGAAGCAGGTAAAGTGAACTTACAAGGAATTCTAATGCTTACTTTAGGTACTCTTATTTGATATTGACAAGAACTTGTTCATTATGCACTGACTTACTGAACTGGTTGGATTTTAAGTAGTCAAAAAGATTGTTTCCACATCTCTGCCTGTTCAAGGAGAAAAGCAAGGTGATAATGTGAGTGAATCAAGTAGTTCAGGTGGTTCTAGCAGTGACTCTGGATCGTCCTCAAGTGGTAAATGCTAAATCTTTTGCTTTGCCTACTACAGTATTGATGCATGCAACACTCTTCAAGAGATCGAATTGCCAGTTGATAATTTGTTGTGATGCTTTTATATGTAGACTCTGGCAGTAGTAGTTCGCCTGGACATCGATCAGATGCAGATCATTAAACTAGGAGGTGAATTGATTGAATTAAGGTAGGGGCCATAATCTTTGGTTTTAGTATGCTTTTTATTGGGTTTTTTTCTTTTTTTTTGGTAATGGCAGGTCATGTATAGTATGAGCCACACGACTTTGAATTATTCTTCATTTCATTCCCGAATTACAATCTCTATTTATAGGAAGTTTTCCTGGGTGGCGCTAGAAACCCGCTATACTTTCACTATTCTTCCTATAGTCACTGGCAACTGACATTATCATAATGATTTCTGTGGTCAAAGTTTGTTTCCAATGTAATATTTCGTTAGTATAATATACTGATATCATTTCAATTTAGAGACGATTTTGCCTTTCCTTTAGAAGGTTAATATTTCCCTTTGTTAAAGACGATTAACTTATATAATTCCTCATCTAGAATGAAATTTTTTGTTATTCTGTTTGAGATAGAACATTAGAGAGAACTCCTTGTATGTTTTGAGTAAATTAGTCGCTGCAGTTTCATGCATGTCAGTGCCACTGATTTCAAACCAGCTATCTTCTCCATCACACCACTTCTGCCATGACTCTATTTCCTGCAGGTATACTTTGTTTGGCCAATAGAAATATCTAATATGGAGAATTTTAACTTTCAGAGTTTGTATCAACTCTTTTAATCTGAGAAATAATGACTCAAAGTTTGTAATCGCCCTCATGTAGAAAGAGTTTTAGATCTGAAAATGTAATTCTGTTGTAAGCGTGGTGTGGTCTAAGTACTGTTTCCAGTTCCTAATCAATATTTGCAATTATTTTGTATGAAACAGTATACTAGACTGTCTTAAATGCGGGTTCCCTGTCTTTATATAAGCAATATACATTGTTAATATTAGATTTTCATGTTGGTTTATCCGAGTCGAGTGATAACCTGTTGAGACTTGCCAGTATATTATACCTGTAATATATTAGAGGTACAATGTTTTATATGCTATGCTGATGAGGTTGCATTTTGCAGGTGATAGGAAGATGTTAGATCAAAGTTTGACCTGTGTTAGTGAGATGGTTGTTCTTTTTGGTATATAATGTGGTGTGGAGGAACCACCCCCAAGGTAATCTTCCAGTAGTTGAACAAGTTATTGGAAGTTGAAACTTACCAACATCATTTTTGCTATTATCAGAATTAACTGACACCTGTGGTTCTTTCTGCTACTAGTTTGTAGCATACTGTAATTAAACTTACCCAAATTGCAAGTTACAACTGATGTGAAATTGTTGTGTCAAATTAATGACCTGTTTCCCTTTTTGTTGAGTCAACTCCTATCTGTGGACGGTTTCCTGGTTAATTGACAAATTTTTTTTCCTGCAAGCCACTTCACTGACCTAACCACTAGAGAGAAATGACTGAAACAATCTTGCCACTGTGTATGAAAATAATGATAATCCCACTTAAATTGAGAGAAATGAGTGAAAAAAATATGCGACTTTATAAATGATAATACAACCCACTTAAGTTGTCATAAAATTCACTTTTCAGTAATCTGACATTGGGCATTATTAATGAAATTCTCTGGTTTATGTAAAGCCTACTCCAATTGAAACAGCATAGCCGGTGCCATTGGCAAAAAATACAACACTAATAAATAAGGCAAAATTTGTAATGATCGACATGGGAAGGAAAGACTGATCAGTTGTCATTGGCAAACTTTATTCCCTTCTCAATAGATGATTTGAGTTCGGGCTTCAGTTTCTCCAAGCCCTCCTTTTCAAAGTCGGAGAGGGGACCCAATCCCAGAACTTCTTCGACACCATTCTTGCCAAGCCTCACCTGCAAATAGGAGGGATTTATTAACACAATTATCAACAATATGAAGTTCAGTAGCTAACACTTAATTAACATCGTGGCTAAGCTAAGTTAAAGCACCTTAGAAGCAAAGAATGGGAGCTCAGTGACAGTTGATTGCACAAATGAACATTCCACTACATCTGGAACACCATTAAGTCCTTTCAGGCAAGCATCAGCAAAGAGGGCTCCTGCATAACTGCAAGAAACAAGGGGAAGATTCATCATAAATTGGATTTTAAAGGGAAAAAATCATAAGAACACCACCAAAGCAATAATGTAAAAAAGAAATGAGAAAGTCATCACATACACAACGAACAAGACAACCAGTCACATTTACCAGAAGGTAATACAGGAGAGTTGACAATTGCCATAAAATTCATTTCACAAAGTTTTCCATCCCAAAAATGGTATCTATATTGATTGACCTCTATTAAGGACAAAGACCAATATCTGTGCAAGCATGATTCTGCAGCAGATATGCATTGTCCAAACAAGCATGTATTAGACGTAACCCTAACAGAACAGTTGGAAACACAACTACAAACAGTATAATCCTAGCTTAGTAAAATTAAATACATTATGTAAATGGAAAAATATCCCCTTCCCATTGGTATTAATATTTTATATGGGGCAGCAGAATTTCACCTTGAGAAAAGTAAATCCATATCATTGCAATTATAAAATAGTTAAATAGTGCAAGATAATGTTTGGACAACATGTATATGACAATAACAACCCAGACTTACGCCATTGACAATGTTGCCGAACCCTTTCCAGCTTTGGCTTCCACAACTTCGGTTCCTCCATCTTGTGTTCTCTTAGTAAGGGCCTTAATATCTTCATCTGGCAAATTTGCTTTTGGTGTGGCCTACAATTTTCAAACAAACAATTCAAGATTAGCATAATCTTCAACAAAAGGGGCTATAAGGAAGCAACTTTAACTAGACATCCTCAGACAACACATAAAATTCAATACAACAGAGGATAAGGGCAGGGAGTACGAGGTACCTGAGAAAATAGTGGGAGAATTGTGATGCCAGCATGGCCACCAACAACTGGGACATTAACCTCTGAAAAAAAAATACAAAGACTCAAGTGAATAGAATGATCCGTAACATAAAACAAAATTTCCTACACTGTGAACCTCTCAATCGCTGAGAAGAGGTAGGTCAAATAAATTCAATCAAAGATACAACTTTTAGATTAAAGAACTATAGTAATGATAGATTGAGTATGTTGTGAGCATTTTGATAACATTCCCCTTAAAACCCCAGTAAGAGAAAATATTTTCTTAATAAGAAAAGAGCAAATATACCTTTCATTTGATAATTTAGACAATAAAAAGAGAAAAGAGCATTAAACACTAAGCATTAGCTTCTATTGTAGTTGAGCATAACCTGCAACGTTTACATTAGCCTTTCCAGCATAGAAAGTCTTAGCTCTAACCACATCAAGGGTTGTCACACCGAACAACTTCTTTTCATCATATGTCCCTGCTTTCTTGAAAACCTCAGCTGCAATAGGAACTGTTGAGTTCACAGGGTTGCTAATCATGTTAACGATTGCCTGTAGTCAAATTGCAAACCAAGAATACTAAATACCGGGAAAAATATGCACTTAAAACATAATTAGAGTTGCTGTTAGTGATATACTCACATGAGGACAATACTTGGCAATTGCAGAGCACAGGGACTTGACTATTCCAGCATTAATGTTAAAAAGATCATCACGTGTCATGCCGGGCTTCCTGGGAACACCAGCAGGAATGATGACAACATCTGATCCCTCCAAAGCTTGTCCAAGCTGATCATCACCGACATAACCGGAAACCTAGAGCAAATGCAAAAAACATAGGTTACATTAATAAGGAGAAACACAAAAGAAGCTCACAGTGGGATAAGAAAGAAAAATAAATATATATCAAATACTAATCATTGACTAAATAACTCAAAATATAATTAAAGCATAAAAATTTAATAAGAGACAAACAGCAAATGAGCAGTTTAGGATCTCAAGCTAGTCTTCTTTTGTTCAAACCAGATAGACCAAAAAAAAAAAAAAAAAAAAAAATAGTAAGGAAAATAAAAAGAACTAATAGTTTCAACTCAAAGTAAGAAAGGAGATGGAGGCGACAGATCAGACAGAAGATTTACAAACACTAACAAGTACATGAGCCCAATGGCAAGTAGATTAGTTAAAATGGAGAGTAAGTAGAAACATAAAAACCAAAAATCAATTAGAATAAAACATACACATGAACACATAGAAATATACTTGCAGAAGGAAATGAAAGATAGAATGTTACTAAGAAATATCAAAATACAAACATGCAAGCGTATTAGCCCTAAAAAGGCACCAAGAAAAAGCCCATCAAAACCAAAACAAAACCAACTAGGCTGAACCATAACTAGATTTATCAAAAACATTGAAATTAAACAAAAGCTAAACAATTTGAAGCAAAAACACAATCCATATTAAATCCCCGACCAATTAACCTTTTTCACCACAATTGTAAATGAAACAAAATAAAACCATTCTAGTAGTCAATAAAAAGCATTCCTTTAACACAATACGATCCATTTTCAAAAAAGAGGATATTAAGAAAGACCTCAGATCTGGTGTTGATGTGGCTGACATCAGCAGCAACACCGGGGGTGTTAGCTATATCATAGAGAGCGAGCCTGCAGACAAGAGGGTTGAGCTTCATGAGAAGAGCAAGGGGTTGGCCTATCCCTCCCGCGGCTCCGAGGACGGCAACCTTGCGGTCCGGTACAGATTCGGAGGCGAAGCCACGGGCGGCGGAGGACCTCGCCGCTAGGGTTTTGACCGATCGGAAAAGGGAATATCTCATTTTCGCCTGGGTTTAGTGAAGAGAGTTTTCAGAGGTTTAACGAGGGCTCGTCACTCTCGAGATGTCTGCTGTTGAATTTATAGAGAGTGTCTAAGATTTTGCAACGTATTCCTAGTATGTAAATCAAAAAGATAAAATTAAAAATTCTGATAAAATAGAAAATAATATATAAAAAAGAAATATATTTTTACCAAAATACAATAGAATGATGCTATATAAAGATATTCATGTTACCAAATTTTACTTCAATTTAAGGTTATCGTTTAGAAATTTTCTACAGATTTGTAATGATATGGTTGGTATAATTAAAGAGTCAAATTTTTTTTATTTATATTATAAACTAGACCGAATTTAGAATATAGATTCACAATTTATCTATTTTATAAGAAATATAATTATAAAAAACTGATTTAATTGAAATGTTAGGGTACAATCCTAGATTCTCCCGGCTGATATTAGGGTCTCCAAAATCAGTTGAGGTGCAGTAACTGTCGAACACCGCCGATCATTAAAAAAAAAAAAATACTAAATTCTTAATTTTAGCCTAAGTTATGAAATGAGATTGAGACGCGAAACGATTGCTTTGTTAAAAAGTAAAATTCATATTTTCAAACAATAAAATGTAGCCAAATTCTCTGGAATCTCCATTGACATATTGAGCACATGGAGATGGTTTACTTTCTGGTAATATTCTGCTTCTGCTTCAACCAAAGGCATCTTCACTGTAATTGTTATGGTGCTTTGAGGTAAGTTTACCACTTAAACCATGATCAAAGGATCTGATGAAGCAATGTTATCGGTACTGTAAGACTTAACCCTAGATTTTACATATTTTACTTGTACAAACATAACTTTCCCTCATTTGGGTACTAGTCGTCAGGGAACTGCTTCAAAGTTCTGTTTTCGGATTGACTTGAAATTGAGAGATACAAATTTCACATTACAGATAGAATGTGTACCGGTACGCGTGACCAAAACAATGTCGCTATATGCAATGCAAAACTTTTGAAAGAAAAAGAAAAATGTTTGCAAAATTGAATATGAAAATGGAAGAATAAAAATCTGCTTTTGCAGATTAAATACCTTTACATGTTCAAATTTAACAGCTTTTCTTAGTCCAAGATCAATGGCTTCTAACTCTAAACATAAATGCTCAAATCATGTGGCTGCTGGAGTCCGCAACTTCACTGCATATTGCATCATCAAGGCCCTTGTTATGAACTCAATGATGTTTTAAATATACAAGAGAATACAAAAGCTCAAGTGATCTTCAAAGATATACTTGAATTCGCAATGTCAATATGGATCAGAGTCTAAGTGAAAGAAGAAGTTCATTGGCTTACCCTTGAGTTTTCATTATCCAGTCTAGGACATCAGAACAGTCTTCGCGGCTAATGAAATGCCTTTTATCGAAAAAAAAAAAAAAAAAATTAGCATTTTCACTGCATATACTATGACAAACTCTTCAATAACTTGTACTGTACCTGTTTCTCGGGCGGTAAACCTTCAGTTCAGAAATTTCTCGGCGGCTTGACATGTCTTTTCTCATTTGTAGAGATTCAGGCACAGCCAAAGTTCCAGTTTGATCATGGTATGCATCAATAACGAAGTCAAGCACACTTTCCTGCAAAATTTGTTTCCACATGAATTAGCTGAGGGGCAAAATAATACTTCTAGCAATAGAATCAAAATGGTCATAATATTCCTTATGGGCAAGCTAAATTAACAAACTGATGAAAGCTTTTGGCAACAGTACCCACAGAAAAAACTAATACCAATGAATAAGTAATGCACAAAAAAATTGGCTATGCTCATGCGACAGCAGCAAAGAATGCATAACGATCAAACATAATATGACAACATACTATATCTCTTCATTGCTTACCAGAACGTGTCAATTGCCTCAAATGTGAAATGTGTTACCAGCACTCTAGCAGCTGAGGATGGAACAAATAACATAAAAATGAAAGAATGTCTTGCATGCATGTGTATATGGGTTACATATCATTGAAATGGGAATACATTGAGTTTAACTCTGGAATATGGAGAGATATAATATCCGTCTCAGATTCTACGTGCAGAACAACGTAATTTCATTCTTGAATTGTTTGCATGATGCAGATATGCACACAGTCCTCAAAATGAATGTCAAAGTGCACATATCCATCCCAAAATCTCTACAGATGCTATGGAATTTCATTAAACATATACAGAATAATGTAAAAATGGGTTATGCAGCATTTCAGCACTCAAAGATGAAATGGTCCAGCTAGACGTTGGTTATCAACCTATAAAAGTTTTGAGTCACACACCAGGGGTCTAGAAGCATTAAGCCATTGATATATATGCTCATTACGGAACCATGTCATTTGCCTTTTTGCAAAATTTCTGCAGAACAAATCAATGATTGCTGGAGTCAAATCTATTGGATGAGAACATCATAGACTCCAAAGTAGAAAGATTAAAGAACAAACATTTTCAAAAAGAAGAAATGAGGTACCTTGATGCTTTCTGAAATTCTGATAGAAAAGAATAAAATTCTCCAGTGGAACTTCTACCCCCTTTTCCCCTACATCTTAAAAGATACTCCATTGCCTGAAATTAGTATCAGATAATATATGAATATTAACTTCTTCGGCTGAAAGTTGTAAAGCAAAAAAAAGCGCTGTATAAAACTGAAACTTGGTTACGTCAACTTTATAAAAAAAATTACTAAGAGACAGCTAGCAGAAATTTTTTCGTTAATATATAATCCATAAAAGGAAAGAAAGAGAGACTAAAAATCAGCAATGCAACATAAAATTTAATTTTTAAACTTTTGCTAATATTTAAGTGTATATACAAAATAATCAACATCTATAATTTTTAATATATCAGAAATTCACAAAGAAGTCGGTAGGGATAATGGTCAAAGATATTTAGGACTTAGTTTTCACAAACACATTAAGACAGACCAAAAAAAAAAAAAGGATTTTTTTATTTTATTTTTATGAAAAGGAAGTAACATTGTCTGTGTATTCAATGTTAATACAGTAATGCAATTGGATATATGAGTGGAAAAAATAATTAAATACAACTCTCGTTTTTTACCATAAGGAAAGAAATGGAACAACATCATTTTCTCTTACTATCAGTAGATAAGAACAATACAAGCATTATAAATTAGAGGTATACTTGTCTATAACCAATTGCTCGCGTCGGAGAGTTTGAATTTGGAAGAAGACCCATATCAAGAAGCCATCTGGCCTCAGACAGAATCCCACCCTTTCCTACAATCCAGATAAAACATTATGAATTTGGTTCTTTATTCATGTAACGTTTATTTGAATATCTGATCGTTTTTAGAATGGTATACCTGAAAGCATATCTTCACAACGTAAATCAATTGATCTGTAAAGATCAAGTCTCTGGCTTGAGAGGAAAAAGCAACTGAAGTCATAATCCAGTTCCTTTGGACTTTGTTCGCGCACACCAGCAGAAGAGTTCCTTTCATGAGACTGGACTGTTTCACTAGAATCAGATTGTTCCCTGAAAGAATCGTATGGTATCTGGAAAGCAGATGGAGGAGATCCAGTAGACTGTCATGTCAAAAAAAAAAAAAAAATCAGTAAGTGGCGGCTTCATGAGCTCAGATATGCTTTTACAGTTACCATATTTTGAAGGTAAACAAACTTTCACAGTTCAAAATACAAGCGTTCTATTGTGGAATTCAAATTACTGAACTCCAAGCCAGAAGTAAGGGGAGAAAAAGGATTTTGAGTATAATTGTATACAGTCAATTAATGCTCATGAAAAAGGCCATTCCCTATTCAAATTCACATCCATGATGTAGCTTGTGTTTCCATGCTTGTGTAGCAAATAATTCTCACGAAAAATATTGTCTACTAATCCATTTGACATTCATGATGTTGCTTGTGTTTACAAAAAGAGAATAAGGGGGCATTCTCACAAATATGGCTAAGAACAGCTACCTTGATTATCTCAAGGCTGCGCCGTAAACGATACCAATCATTGGCAGGCAAAGACCGTGCTTTTGGATCTCCTGCTTTGACAACCAACTCCACAGCAGCATCCCAGTCCTCATCTCTTTGTAGATCTGCAAGTTCAGAATACACTTCAGCTGCAATCTCTGGGGAGGCTTTTGGAACATCTGGCTTCCCATATATGAACCTAATATTATCCATGAAAAGATGACAGTGAACATGTTTTTGATTTGTTGCTTTCAGCAAATCAACAAGAAAATACAATCATACCATCCGATACTTTTTGACAGATAAAATCACCCGCACAAAAAAACCCACCACTACATTGACCATTCCCACTTAAATAATATATACATCATTTCCAATTTCCTTTAGGAAAGTCATTTAAACAGTGCCAAGCTCAAGAAAGAACATGCAAACGCCCTTCCTGGTGGCATTAGCTTATAGGAGTCAGGATGTTGCATTCAAGAGAAATCTTGTGCATATAAGCACTCAATTTCACTAAATAAGTGAAAAGACAAAGGAAACAAATTTCAACAATGCTCTAAAAGGATATAAGTAAACATACCATCGCAAATACAGTCCGGTCCCACCCGTAACAATAGGAACACGACCTTTATTGAGAATATCTTTTGTTGTTTGCCTTGCATCTTCAAAGAATTGCCCAACAGAATAGTCTGAAAGGAGATAAAATGATAAACTTTTATATAGAAGAACAGATGTTTCAAATTGCTCCAGCAGAAAAAGCACTAGATCATATTACAAGGCGCTTATAAGATGATTTATTAATCTAAGCTGCTGCAAAGACAACATACCTTCAGATGGGTGCAATATGTCGATAAGATGATGTGGCACTTCCTGCAAGAGATTAAAATGTAATTACAGCTACATACACCAAAAAAACAAAATAAGTTTATCAAGCTTCACTTCCCATATAACAGAATATGGAAACTCATATATACTTCAGCAGATATTTTTATGGTAAAAGTAGGCATTAAACATGAAGTATCTAAGTTAGGCACCTTTCTGTCACTCAAAGATGGCTTTGCAGACCCAACATCAAGGCCTTTATATACCTGCAAACAAGCAAAATTTACTCAACTTACTTAGATAGATGTCAATACTCATTATAACCAATGAGAGAAGGTCCAAGCAATACATGATACCATATGAACCAAACCCATTCAGCACAAAACAACCCATTTTAACATTCCATGTTGATGCTTCACGAAATCTGTAAAACCATGGCTTAGGCCTATGAAAGCAGAAATATTCCCTTCTTCAGAGTTAGAAGTAATGAATTAGATTCAACTAACTGAAAAAAGAATTTGCTTTCAAATATCTTATATACTGGCAAAACCTCTCCATTTGAAAATTTTCAATCTTCTCCTTTTCCATTATAAACTCACTGAAGGCCAGAAAACTCAAAATTACCTACTCAATTAAAATCAAATAGACAAAAATTTACCCACTTTGTATATTGTTAAACTCTTGCCAGCAAAACCTCTAACGAATAAAACGAAGAACTCCATCACCTTTGGTAAGAACTATCATAACAGGGAACACAGAAAAATGAAAGCCAAAAATTTCAACTTCCTTTTTCATTTAGTCTCGTTTTCTTCCCTTACAGCTTCTCATCAATAAAAAAAAGCTTTACCCACTTCATAATTACATAATCATTCTCCATTTTAAACCTCAAAAGACCAAAAAAAAAAAAAAGTGCTACCAACGGGCTGACCTGAACAGAGTCAGCACTGATGATTTCACCATTCAAGCGCTTGGCCAGCTCAAGAGCAAGCCGGCTCTTTCCGGACCCAGTGGGCCCAGATATTACTATGATCTTCTCTTTATTTCTTGAAACGGAGCATGACGTCGCAAAGAGTCGCCGGCGCCTAGTGAATGAACGGAGAAAGGGCTTCTCAGTCAACCGCAAGCCGGATGTACGGATGCCACCACACGCTCCACTCATCAGCATTTCTTGCTTTCTCGTCCTTTGTTTGATTTTTCTTCAGATAAATTGTGGGTAAGGCACCGAGGTTTAAGGTGTATGGTATGGTTTAAGTTTTTAGATAACTTTTGCTATATGTTTTTGGCAAAAGGGGGTCACAGTTATTTGTCACATGGTGAAAAATATCACTGAACATTAGCCCACCAGATTTTTTATTCTCATCCCCACCAGGAATAAACTTTGAAGCCACCAGTTCACAGAGTGATGTGTCACCTCTCTTCAGTTCAAGAAAACAAATTGAACTTGCTTGATAATGAGAGTTTTGAACTGGGTATTTAGATTATAATTTTTATAGTCTACCTAAACTTGAACCCACCAACTGGTTGTTGTTGCATTGAGTACTTTTCAAAAGACTTGAAACTCAAGTTACTCCAATTAGTAACATCTCTTAATGTCTTTGAAATGAGTAACATTCAAACACTTTGATTTTTATTCAACAATTTCAGATAATGACACAGCCATGGCTTGATCGCCGGATTCAATCCCTCTTCCCGGTTGCATTGGTTTCTATTTTAGTAGTTGGAAGTGTGAGATTAGTCCTGGATAACTTGAAGAGCAACCAGAGTCATATTTTTCAGTCATATGGTAAACCGGATCAGGGTTACAAGCAAAGAAAACTTGTGTTTGTTTCTTCTGAAGATCGGTTTGAGAATGGCTGTAATGTTTTTGAAGGTAACTGGGTTTGGGATAATGTGACATATCCTCTTTATACAGAAGAGAGCTGCCCTTACTTGGTTAAACAAACCACTTGCTTAAGAAATGGAAGACCTGATTCATTCTATCAAAATTGGAGGTGGCAGCCCAATGCCTGCAAGCTACCAAGGTAATATTCTTTTAAATCTGTTGCACTCGATGAAATTTACTTTCATTTGCTTTCAAGACAATATTCAAGTTTTATACGTTGTTAAACTCTTATGAATTTGAAATGTTTGTGTTGTCAGGTTTGATCCATTGAAGCTATTGGACATTTTGAGGGGCAAAAGATTGATGTTTATTGGAGATTCAGTGCAGAGAGGGCAGTTTGAATCAATCGTCTGCATGTTACAATCTGTGATTCCTGATGGAAAGAAATCTTTTCTTAGAATTCCTCCTATGAAGATCTTTAAAGCTGAGGTATCTGTATCTTTATAGTTCTCAAAACATTTCAGTTTAATACCATGCATAGGAGGTTATCTTTTTTTAGGAGACAGACTTGCTAATTTACGCAGTTAGTATTCCTCTGAAAATTTTATGTTTTCAGGAGTACAATGCATCAATTGAATATTACTGGGCACCCTTTATTGTGGAGTCCATTTCAGATCATGCGACAAACCATACAGTATCAAAGAGGCTGGTTAGTCTTGACTCTATAGCTAGACATGGGAAGAGCTGGGAAGGAGTTGATGTGTTAGTATTTGAAAGCTATGTGTGGTGGATGTACAAACCAACAATCAATGCTACGTAAGTACCCAGTTCCCTGCATTACCGTCTTAAGAGCTCAAATTCTAGTCAATTTGGTTTGCATGCCTGCAATAGCCAGTTCAGTAGAGCAGCAATATAGCAATGATGATGCAACACTGTTGAATGTCGAATCATTAGCTCAAATTAGGTTTGTACAAGGGAGGTGTCAAAGGGATTATTCATTAACTCTACTTATGAGAGTAAAGTTCAGTTCAGTTGAATCAGATCATTTTCCACCATTGTGATCTGATTATAAACCTGATTTGAATCAAATCTTGCTACTATGTGGGATATTTAAACACCTATTGTGTTCGAACTTTTCCATTTTTGCAAGTTGAGGCTGTCTTTTCGAATCTAACACAAGGTTGTGTCTTCTTTTATATGGTTTTAATATTTCCAGATATGGATCTCCAGATGATATTCAAGAATATAATGTCACCAAGGCGTACAGATTGGCATTAGAAACTTGGGCAAATTGGCTAGATTCCAACATCAACCCTCTCACTCAAAAGGTCTTCTTCATGAGTATGTCTCCAACACATTTGTGGTAAGTGACATAAAAGTTTTCTACAAATATAGGAGATTAGGAAAAATAATGGCACAATATCATTTTGGTAAAAGGAAGCGCATTTTCTATATTCAACCACCATGCGCTGTAACATGAATACAAACTTTTGAAGATGCTTAAATCGCTAAATTTTGAGGATAATTAGAATTCAAAAAGCTTCCAAATCCTTTAAAGAAATGTACAATTACTTTCTTTTGGGCCACATGACCTACGAAAGCCAACTTAAAGTGCTCTCAAATTATAAATGACCTGCATTTTCTGTTGCAGGAGCTGGGAATGGAAGCCTGGAAGTAATGAAAACTGCTTCAACCAGTCGTATCCCATCCAAGGTTCATACTGGGGGACTGGTTCTAGTCTCGCTATCATGGACATAATTCACGATATTTTGCAACAGCTAAAAACCAATGTGACATTTTTGAACACCACTCAGTTGTCCGAGTACCGTAAGGATGCTCATACAACAGTTTATGGAGAACGGAAGGGAAAACTATTGACAAAGGAACAAAGAGCTGATCCAAAAAATTTTGCTGATTGCGTTCACTGGTGTTTACCAGGAGTCCCTGATACATGGAATGAGATCCTGTATGCATATTTGTTGCAGAATCATCAAACCTTTTTGTAACCTTCAGGACCACAACAAATGTGAGCTTCTATAAATCGCAAAAATATACATTTATATGTTGATCCCAAATATTAGAAATAATTTTTTTTTTTTTCATAATAAGAAAAGAAAGCTCTCCAGATTAAATACAACAAAAAAATGACTATAATCAATGTTGGCTGTAGCAAAACCATAAAGACGTGGCATTATATTGCAACTAATCAGGGAAGTGTCATTCCATCTACAAAAAAACAGATAAAATTTGCATAGGTGTCTCATCTTAGAATACCTTTATTGTTTCTTATTTCTATACAGAGGGAACTTGGACCTGCTTATTGACTTTATTCACACTGTGATAAGACAACACACTGATCTGCACGAGCAAGAGGTGACATGAACAGTCTGGTCGCAGCCATCCAGTGAGAAACTTGAATTGTTTACAGGAGTTCCCATTCAGAATCAGATATACCCTTTGAGTCCAAGGTTGGGGTGACCGTCGATGGCAAGAGAGCTTGCAATGTGTCTTGACTAGGTCCAATGTAACTATCTCCAAACCAAATTGCTAGCTGCTCATACTCCTTAGTTAACCTCTTTTTTGAAGCAAAAGCATCCTTGATTCTTTTCTGATAAGATAAATGAAGCAAAAAAGAAAAAAAAAAGATCTATTTAGGCTCAAGTATCTGGATGATAAAATAATTATAAGGAGGGGCAGAAAATTATAAGGTGTTTCATTTATTCTGAGGCATGCTTGCAAAGAATAACTAAGAAATCATTTCATCTGTGAATATTAAAAGGGCGGAAAAAAGAGAGAAAAGGTTTCTCCAGACTTTGTTGAGTTCCAAATTGTTAGAATTTTAGGTGGGCCTAACTCTTCACCCAATAAGGCCTTGTTGAATGGGAGGATTACCCCCTCTTATAACCCAATAGGCTTGAGTGTGCCTAGTCGATGTGGGACTCCAACACTCCCCCTCACGGTCAAGCCCATATATTGGGTCATGCCTGTTATTGGAGGTAGTTGCCTGCTCTAACTCCTCACCCGCTGGTCAAACGCTCAGCTCAACTGAACCTGGACTCTGATACCATGTTAGAATTTTAGGTGGACCTGACTCCTCACTCAATAAGGCCTTGTTAAATGGGAGGATTACCCCCTCTTATAACCCAATAGGCTTGAGCGTGCCTAATCGATGTGGGACTCCAACACAAATGATATTCTTGGTTTCCTTGTAAAAGCGCCATCTCAACATTGAGAAAATAGACCCATGATCTAGATTATGATAATCGCATATTAAATTAACATGCTTAGCTTTTACTTTTGTTTTTTCCAAACGAAATTTTAGCCAAGGATATGGATAGTGGAAAACTATTTTGATACAATGAGAAGAGGATGTTAATATTGCTATTTCTTTGCCAGCCATTGAAATCAAATGATTAAAACTAACAAATCAAGGAATTTTATTTGACTTTTTTCCTGCTGAGATAGGGGGGGACCCCTAACATGTTTTCTCATGCTAAAATTGAGTGAGAGCTAGAGAGAGAACCTTGAACGATCCAAGTTTTTGGGTTCTTTGGGAGACAGCATAAAGTGCGCTACTGTCAACCATGACGCAGCTTTCCTCTAGCTTCACGTTGTCAGACAATTCAACTGTTTCCATCCCAGAATAATCAAAATCATCACTGCAATAATGTGAATATCCTGTAGATGAAGAGAAAAGATTTTTCAAAGAACAACATAACAAGGCCTGAGCAAAAAGTGTAATTTCAGCTTCTTACAATCACAGAAATTTTATTCCATTAGAATCATTACAGTTTAAAGCAACCATGGCTATAATTCTCAAAAAAGGATTTCACCTATAACAATGCCTTAAAGAAAAAAAGATGAAGAAAAGAAAGATGAGTCAGCTCCAGTGAAGAGAACATATATTCAAATGTTCACCACACACAAACACAGATGCCCAGGAAAATAAGAAAGAAAGAAAGGAAGAAAGGACTTCCAAAGTTGAACACACTCTTCATCGTTACCACGAGGATAATCGTCACCACATATGAGAATGAATGCAGAAAAAGACAGACGTATAAAGAAGGGGAGGAAAACAAGAATAGAACTTTGACATACCACTATCTGAAGAGAATGTATGAGCATCAAATTGAGCAGAACCACATAACTCAGCATTACTATTTTGAGATGTCCCGCTAAGTGACAATGTATAATTTGTTCCGGAGACATCTTCCCCTGCCAAAAGACAAGCAAAATGAGAAGTCACGGTAAAAGGAGGGAAAAATACTTCTCTTATAAAAGATTTGAAAATACCAACCGCCTGATTCCAATGACAGGACACTGCAGGATTTGATGAGTCCTGCCTCTGCTGCATTGTCTTTGAGAGATGCAATTAGAGCCAATGTAGAAGATGGGGGGGCCTCAGAACAATCAGACACAGACCAAACCCCATCAACAGGATCATTAAAACACACTGATTGTGTAGCAAAGTTTGCACTTAAATTTTCATAAGAACTGTTAGATCCCGATAATTGTGAATTGGTAGAGGACATCAATCCCGGTTCTGATACTTTTTCGACACAGGATACAACTGAGAAAGCCACCTCAGAAGCAGATGAAGTATTTGAAGCATCAGAAACACTCACCGAGTTATCAGCGAAGTTATCACAAACTGTATCCTTTTCTTGGGCAGATTGGCACTCCACAACACAAACTGAAGTTACAGATGAAACCTCTGTCACAAAGCTGCATTCATTTTTCTCATTGCAATCAGCAAACTCGCAGATCAACGATGCCTTAGAAGAGTCTTTCCCACCAAGAGATATTGACTCCAATACCCTAGATGTAGATGACTTCTCCTTTATAGAATCCTCTTCTTCATTCACATCAAAGATCTCATGTGCTAAAACATCATCAGTTGGTCCGGAATCCAAATCAGACTCTGGCCTTACAGAGGAATCCTCAGAAATTGGAGTAATAAGTTGGTTTCCAAGGTGAAGTCCATTCAATTCATTTCCCATCTGGTTTGTCACTGGATCAACTGCATTGGGCTCCACAGTTGATTGGTTAATGAACACATCTTCCTGATTTTCTTGAATACCTATTATTGACTTCAGATATGTACCAATAGCAGCATTTTTTTTCAGAGCCACTTCTTGAGCTTCATGTTTTACAGTATCCACTAAAGGAGGAAGAAAATCTTGGACGACATCAGAGCAAAACTTTTTCATGCTGTCCCCCACTGTCTGCATTTGGTTTTCAACATATCTAACAGTGTCCTGGCGAAGCAAAGCACTTTAAATTCATGAGTGGAATTGCCAAAGAAAAAAAAATTACATAATACACAAAAGAGAAAAAAAAAAAAAAAAAAAAAACCATCTTAAAAAGGAAAATAATCCTTAAAATACCTGACTCACAATGTTATCCACCTCCTGGCACATTGTTTCAAACTTCTGGGAGATGTTCTTCCCAACCCAGGTTATACTTTTTAGTTTTAAATCCATTACGGGTTTGGGCTTGTACTAGATTTCTGAATCCAATGTCTCAAACAGCATCACTTGTTACCCTAGGATCAGGAAATTGCCTGCCAACAATGAGATGGAATCATATCAAGACTCGCATGAGTTACTATATTAGAAACAGCAATTCTGTGAACCTCAATACCTCAACTTAAATAAGCTGCATAGAGTTGATGAATAATAAAATACACAAAAAAAATTTAACATCTTATATGTGAATGTAATATCAACACATAAAAGCATAAACTCTTAGTACAAAGCAAATTCATAGTTAAAATAGCAAATCCCTTAGTCTAATTTCCTTCTCTCTCCCATATCCTTCATGATCATCTTCCAAAACTGATTAAACCATTTCAATTATGCTTCCTATGACCATGAAACCCTTTAAACTTTCTTTCTTAAGAAGAAACAACCATAATTATTGAGGCGTCTTAAGTTTCACCACAATCCAACAGCACAAAGAGCCACCAACGCAGATGGTAACACAAACCCATCATTGAAAAAACAACGAACCCACATTTAAAAAGAAAAAAAAAAAATATGTAAACCGGTAAACGCATGATCAAGTCATTATTTTTAGAATTCACACTCATAAAAGTTGGAAATTTTTTATTTAAAAAAACTGGCAGTGACTTATAAACCCCACAAACAGAGAAAATAAAACCCAAATTGCATTCAAAAAAGAGAAAGTAGAAGATGAAAGGGTTACCGGAGACCTGGAGCTGCCTCTGAGCGGTGGCGATAATCGGCGTTAAGTTGGCTTAAGTTTTACGATAGAGGGTTGTTCTGGGAAAACGAGGTTTATCAAACAACTGTACAACATACTTTATATTCAAGGGTTTTAGTAATATTTAACCGCAGTTCTGGTATTTTTGGTAATCGTTTTTAAACGACCCCGTTAAATTGATTCGAATAAGTTAATCGACAGATATAAGAGGCACTATTATGGATACAAGATTTTGATAACCTAAATATATAGAATAACTTTTTTAACATCTAATTTTTAGAGATAATAACAATTTCGTCCCTCAGATTTGATCTCAACACCTTTTAATCAGTAGAATTTAATTCCTCTGGTTTGCCAATGACGGGATCAAAACGTTGTTGATAAGGACTAAAACATAAAATTCATTTTCCCCATCTTTTATCATTATGCAATTATTTGGGGTTTTGTTGTTATAGTATGTTTTAAAGCCATATATTAATAGAGTAAACACATATTCCCACATGAGGTTTAGTAAAATCTCAAGTTGATACCTCTGATTGTGTTTATTCAAGTTCTCACATTTAAACTAACACCGTTAGTGGTTATTGAAATTGATCAGAAACGGCGAATGAGGTTGATGAGTGAAGGCATAAGTTTTGTAAAGGAGATTGTGGAGAGTTCAACGGTAGTCTCGAAAGTGATTTTAGACTTCGGAATTGATCGAAAAAAGTCAAAAACCATCGACTTTAACACTATTAACATGAACCTTTCTTTGACCAAATAAAGCATCGACGTACTTTAACGTGCTAACATGCGTTGTACTATACTGAGAAATTAAAAATCTATTAAAATAAAAATAAAAGATGTTACTTTAAGAATCAGAATTTGATATAAATACAACCAGAAATATTAACTTAAACCTGGGTTGGACTATGTCGTTTGCTCTATATTAATATTACCAGGTAAATCAATGAAAATTATGGGGACAGCATTAAAAATTAGAAAGAGGAATTGATTATGAGTGAGACTATTTCAACTTGATTGGCACGTGGTTTAATGTCATCCTGACTCTATACCTTTTCTTATCAATGAGATTTTTTATTTCGGTTTTACCCTTTTATTTTAATAATTGCCTACTTTGCTTTACAGGGCTTACAAGATTTAACCCTTGCGTTGCAGAGAATTACTTGTTAGCACTTTGTGAAAGCAAACGGAATAGTGAATTTTTGCAACTTTTGGAGACTCTGGACATAACAAAGGTTTCCTCACTGGAATATGTGATGAGTATTTTTAAATTCTTGGGGAGCCTAGTGTTGGAGTCCTTTGCAAAGAAGTATCTTTTGGCATTAAAAATATCTGGTATGTACATGTTTTTTTTCATTTTCCATGACCTGGAAACTTCTTATTAAAGCATTTACTAAAGTCTTGTTTGCACAACCTGTAGATATGTTTGGGGAATTCATATCAGAGTGCAGGTACAATTTTGTTGCTAGTGTAAGTGACAAAGTTTCAGGGCAAAAACTAATTGCAGTTGCAAAATAGAAGCGGAATCAGAATCAAGGAGCCTTAAAATAGGGATACTAGATTATCTACGAAAGTTTTACAATACGATCGGTAGAGAACAAGCTATACTTTTCATCATCTATTCATATGCAAATACTAGTGACAACCTTGATTTCTTAAGCAAAGAAGTTATTTGTTTGTTGTACTTTTACACACATTATTTATATTTAATATCACGATCTTCTAAAATTGTTTTATAACTGTATGTATTCTTTTAACATTATGCAATTGTGTAAAACTTTAGTGAGATTCTGGACGATTAACTTTGGGTAATTCATTATGCTATTATTTGTGCTGATGCACCTATGTTGTATCTTTCATATGTATCCTAAACAATTAAGCTATCGGTGCTCGGCAAAATTATAGATTATGGAACAAAGAATGTTTCAAATGTCATCTTTAACTACACCTCTGATATTCCAAATTTAGTGGTGAGCAGCTTCTCATGAATCCTCATGGTAATTTTCGAGAGACTATGATTCTATGAGACACCTTTAAGTTCACATTTAGTTTGTTATTTCATTTTAGAAACTTCATTTTACTTTTACTTCATATAAAACTTAGGAAACTCATGAGCTGATTGGTTCTCTAGAGGGAAGATTAAGTAAAACCCCTTTGGTGTGCTAAATCAAGTAATCTCTAAGTTCTCAAAAGAAATCATATAGCCACGTCTAATTATGGCTTAACTGATTGAAGTTTTATTTTTCATATCTTATCTTATTAAGAACTTCTAATTTGTTTCAGTTTTATCTTATCTTTAAGAATGACTTTGAGCTCCTTTGAACTGTACTAGAACAAAATTAAGTATTTGATTTATCTGATTTCATATTAAAATGCGAAAAAGATTCAAGCTCTAATAGCATGTTGAAGAGAATGAATATAGTGCAAAGGAAGAATTCCGAAAAAATTTGTACTACTTTTTTATTCATGTCTCACTATTATATACATCACAATTTACTCAAGTTACAACTAAGTACACTAATTAGCTGACTAACTAACCGTACAAATGTAATGTAAACTGAACAATAAACTGAACATTATACACTGCTAATAGTTAATGTTACAGGTGTCGGGGTCCTCATGATTAATCCTTCTAGAAATTTAACCAATGTTAACGTTACAGGTGCTGGTGAAGGAGCCTTCTACAAAATTTGACTAAAGTCAATATTCTCTGATTGATTTGGTTTTGGACACAGACTACAAAGTGTAGCAGACCTAGAGAGTGTAATCCGTAAGTGTGCGGCAAGGGCTGATCTTGATTCTCGAGAGTGCCTGAGTGTAGCTGCTTGTTCAGGAATTAGGGATTATGAACAAGAAAGACGGGATAATAACAATAGATCTGGTATAAATAATACTTTGGTTATATAAAATTTTTAAACAATGATTTGATCTTTATCAAAAATAGTTTGGTCTCTTACAAATTTCACTAAATACCCCAATATATAAAAGTTTTATAAAATAACAAAAAAACCCCCCACCGGCAAGTGCCAGATTCCGGCCACCACCGCCGGAATCTGGCCGGAAAGTTGCGTTACGACACAGACCCGTCGGATCGGTGTCGTAACGCGTCGATCTGGCCTTTTCCGGCCAGACCCGTGGCTGATCTGGCCAAAAAAGGCCAGATCTACGGCTAGATCTAGCCGTCGACGCCGCAAAACTCCATCTGCGGCGTCGAAGGCCAGATCTGGCAGTAGATCTGGCCTTTTCCGGCCAGATCAACCACGGATCTGGCCGGAAAAGGCCAGATCTGGCTGCTGTTTCGAAGGCCAGATCTGGCTGCTCTTTCGACGGCCAGATCTTGCCTTTTCCGGCAAGATCAGTGGCGGATCTTGCCGGAAAAGGCAAGATCGGCACGTTACGACACAGATCCGACGGATCTGTGTCGTAATACAGTTTTCCGGCCTGATTCCGGCGATGGTGGCCGGAATCTGGCACTGGTGGTGGTGGGGGTGTTTTTGTCATTTAACAAACATTTTATATATGGGGGTGTTTAATTAAATTAGCAAACCTAGGGAGTTTTTTAGAAATTTTTAAATTTATAAAAAACAAAAATTGAAACTTTGAAGGGCATTTTAGTCTTTTCACTATTAATAAACAAAAATCACTAACAGAATATGACGGAAGGTATCTATTTGTCGTTTCAAAACCTTTTGGGTACCAACTTGTTATTATAGTAAACTTTGGGTATGTACAAGTCGTTCGCCCCTTTTATTTTAATAATTGCCTACTTTGCTTTACAGGGCTTACAAAATTTAGCCCTTGCATTGCAGAGAATTACTTGTTAGCACTTTGTGAAAGCAAACGGAATAAGAATCAAGGAGCCTTAAAATAAGTTGGTAAGTTAGTATGAATCTAGGCATTAAATCCTGAGCTCTTTTTTTACACATTAATGTATTGAATAGGAGAGAGGCATGCCTTGGGTCTTCCGGTTTGGGGCAAGTCATTGGTGTTAATTTTTCTATGGGGCTATTGTCCGTGCCAAAATCTTTACTTTGCTACGGACTCTTGCTTTCCAAATCAGAATTGAGGAATATAAAATAGGGATACTAGATTATCTACTAAAGTTTTACAATACAAACTATAATTCATATGCAAAAACTAGTGACAACCTTGATTTCTTTAAGCAAATAAGTTATTTGTTTATTTGTTTGTTGTACTTTTACACACATTATTGATATTTAATATCACAATCTTCTAAAATTGTTTCATAACTGTATGTATTCTTTTAATATTATGCAATTGTGTAAAGCTTTAATGATATTCTGGATGACTGACTTTCGATAATTCATTA